AGTATGTTTTAAATACTATTATAATATTCCTGTAAGGCACTTACCTTGATCCATACATGTTGTTATTCTGATAATGGGCTTTTAAAATCTTCATTGTAAAGTAGTTAGCTAGTTTATGTATGATTTTTTTTTCTTTTTTTTAAAAAAGGATAGCCATTGGTTCTGATTAATTTCTACTGTTTAAACTAAAACATGAAATCATAATCTTTATGTTAAAGTATAGCAGACCTATTAGATATTTTAAATAGTACTTTTTTGTCCATTAGAGAAATGTTAAAACATTTTAGCCATTATTTATTTATTTAGGAGTGCTGGGGAAGGAACACAGGGCCTCACATGCACTAGGCAAATGCTCTACCATTGAGCTACATCCCCAGCCCTAAAACAAAACATTTGATCAGTTATTCTTTTGAAACTTTTAACCAAAACCAGTCAAAGTAATTGGGGTGTATCCCCCTCTCAACCTGATTATTTTTCTCTTGAGAGTAGGCCCTTTCTATCCAAGATAGGGTTGATCTTCTGTCATTAAGCAATAGATAAGGGCTGGGATTGTAGCTCAGTGGTAGAGCGCTTACCTAGAGACAATATGTTAACTTTGAAGCATGACTAGCTAATCTCAGTATTTAGAGGAACTTACCTCATATTTGTTGTATTCCAGATATTTAGTAGAGATAAATATTATAGCACAAATTCGACAATAGAGTTAACTGGTAAAGACCTTTTCAACTTAACATTTTACATTACAGGATTCTTCTGCCATAGTTAAAGTTATAGTTTACAGTTTTGTAGTTTTGAGTTTTTTGATATATGTTACTTTAAAAGACACTGTCTTTTGACGATAAATTAGAAAAATAGCTGAATGAAGGTACAGACTCATTGAAATTGCAATGCTTAATGGAAATTTTGCTGAGCATTTCAGAATGTTATTTATAACTAAAAATACAGGAGAGAATGGAGAACACCAAGAAGCTGGGCATTCTCCCTGTCTGCCTTGCCACTCTCTTTTAAATAATTTTAGTTGGATGGATGCCAGGGAGAATAAAAATTTTATGGGTCCCAGGAATTTCTAAAAGTTCAAAATATTAAATATACTCAGGTGTTTGTAAACTTTTAAAGTCTTGTCCCTGGCCTGGGGATGTATCTCAGTGTTAAAGCACTTGCCTAGCATGTGCAAGGCCCTGGGTTTCATCTCCAACACCACAGAAATCAATCAGTCATTCAGTATCTTCTCCCATAATGAAGCTGATGTTCCTTATCAATTCAGCATATAAAAATAAGGATAATTTGAGAATGAGAAGTAATGGTAGTACATAGACCCAGAGTATATCTCCCAATATGGGGTTATTAAAAATGAATCCTGAAATTCTCTAATATTTCTTTTCTTTTTCTATTAAGTTGCTATAGCCCAAGGTGGAACAATCCAGATTTCTAATCCAGGATCTGATGGTGTTCAGGGACTACAGGCATTAACAATGACAAATTCAGGAGCTCCTCCACCAGGTGCTACAATTGTACAGTATGCAGCACAATCAGCTGATGGCACACAGCAGTTCTTTGTCCCAGGCAGCCAGGTTGTTGTTCAAGGTATATTTTATTAATCTAATACATTTAGAATACCTGTGGATTATTATATCACACCCTTTAGTGGTGATTTTAGAGTTTGGTGAAATATATAGGAGATAGAGTTTGGGGGTGGGGTGGGAAACACTTAAAAAAGCTTAAAGGAGAAATATTTTAATACATTAAAGAAGTGAAAGAAATTATCTGACTTTCACTCTTTAGCAGGTTTTATTGGTTCTAAAGAAAGCTAAATTCAGAGCAACATGATAGACAAAGGGAGTTGGAAACATTAATGAATTTTTAATTAGGTTAATAGCCTTCTTTTGGAAGTTACAAATGCTGTACCTCCTATATTTCTCATACCTGTTTTATGAAGAGTTAAGTATATAGTCCACAATGCCCTGAATTTGGGTCTTTCCTCAGCTATTACATTCAAGTCTAATTTCTAAACAATTCATTTCAAAACAAATGCAGTGTGTGCGTGTGTGTGCGTGTGTGTGTGTGTGTGTGTGTGTTAGTCTGCTATCATATTTGAATTCTTCTGTACCCATTCTAGCTCTTCTGAAAGCTGACAGTAGTGAAATAAAAGTTGGGGTGTAACCCTGAACTTTTAGGATTACCTAAGATTTAAATTAAATTTTAATTAAATATATTTGAATTTTATTTGTGCTTATGATAACTGTAATATGTGTATTTAATACAGTTTTTAAAAATTCTGTGTTTTAATTTAATTATTTTCCTTGGGTTCATTTGCTTAGGTTGCATAGCAGTAATTTTAAGACAAGTGATACCAGTTCTTTTAGTTTGAAAGTCTTGCAAGTATGGGAAAAAAATAAGTTATAATTAATGTAGATTATAATAGAAGTATGTGAAGAACTGAAATAGTAATATTAAAACAATCTTATATTTTCCCTTACTCATGAATCCTATGTATCTAAATGAATAATCTTATTTATTTATTTTTTTAAATTGCAGTTGGACACAATACCTCTGTTTTATTTATTTATTTTTATGTGGTGCTGAGGATTGAACCCAGTGCCTCACACATGCTTAGGCAAGCACTCTACCGCTGAGCCACAACCCCAACCCCTAAATGAATAATCTTAAAGAATAGTCATTTTTCTCGTATCATCTTTTTACATGGAAAAATCTGAAAATTTGAACTGTAAATAGAGATTGTTTTTATAATTTTTGCTTTACATAATATACATATAAGTCTTGGGTTTTGGGATTTTTATGTAAGAACTTATCTATTTATTTATTTTTATGATTTGGGGTACCAGGAATTGAATGCAGGGGTGCTCTTCTTTTTTTTTTTTTTTAAAGAATAGGGTTTCACTAAATTGCCTAGGACTTCTCTAAATTGCTAAGGCTGGCATTGAACTTGTCATCCTCCTGCCTCAGCCTCCCAAGCCAGAATTCTTTTTCTTCTACAAGTCACAGAATTATTTTTCTACATTGTCATCCATGAACTTTATAGTTTTATATCCTTAATCCATCTAGGACCCACTTCTGTATATAATTAGCTGGAAATCCATTTTTAATGTTTTCTCCCTATACTGTATCCCTAATCATTGGTTTGCTCTTTCCTCATTAATTTATGGGGCAACCTTAATTATACAATAATTTCTTATGTAATTTTGGATCTGTCTCACAACTCTGTTCTGTTCAATTTATCTTTTTCTGTATGCTAGTACTATACTTTCTGTCTTCCAGAACAAGTTCTTCATCTTGTCTTTTTTCTTTTTTTTTCCATGCTGATTTAGCTATTTGAAACATGACTCTTTCATATATATTTAGAATAACTGAGTTTTTAAGTAATAATAATAATAAAACCATTGATGATACAGCATTTAATTTATAGATTAAGTTAGGGAAAGCTGAAGTTTTTATAATGTTGTTAAAATGACAAATCTCAAATTACAAGTTTTTCACTTAGTAAGATTTTATTTTAAACAGTTTAAAATTCTTCTCCATGGCGGTTTTACTCAATTGGTTCCTGAATGCTTTGTGGTAGTTTTTGCTATCATGTATACCTTATTTTTTTATTACATTTTCTAGTTGTTGCTGGTATAAATAGATATTGATTTTTTTTTGAAAGTTGATCTTTTATCTGTTAACCTAGGTAAATTCTAATTACTTTAATCTGTGAAACTATATGAATATTTACACCATATATAAATAAGTTTCTTCTTGTCAAATTTTATTCTTTTTTTATCTTTTTTTTTCTCTTTTTTTCCTCTCTCCTTCTTCCTCTTCCTCCTCCTCCTTCTTTTTTAATATTAGTGTCTAGGAGTTCCAGTTCAGTGTTAAACATAGTTGTCAGTGGGCATTCTTGTCCTGAAATTAAAGACAATATTCCCTATCTACCTTTTACTCTATCATCTCACTGAAAGGCAATATCAATTTCATTTTGAATTCTTAGTTCTTATCTCGATTGATTTCTTCTGCACTACTTAACACTGTTGACCTCTGCTTCCTTCACTTTCTTAAACTGCATTCTCATTGTCTCCCTTTTCTGTCTTTCAGTCTCTTTTGTTGGGCTAATCTTCCTCTGCCAGTCTCCTTAGTGTAGTGGTGTGCCCTAGGATTGTATCCAGGGCCCTCTTCCCATTAGATTTCAGCATTCTTCCTGGATGATCTCATCTGTTCACTGTGATGATGCCTCCTACTTCAACTGGCTAGTTAGATGTCCACACTCATCTTTGATTCCTTAAGTCCAGACTTGACTTTCATTTTTCCCTACCACAAATCTCCTTTTGTTTTCTGTATTTAAGTAATAGACTACTTGTCCTTCTTTGCTTTAAGCCCCAAACCTGGCTTACTCTTCCTGCACCTCTCTACCCAAAGCCACTTTGTAGATTCTTCCCCTTAACTAAGTCACACATGTTTTCTACTCCTCCACACCCCACACTCTAATCACCCTAGTTCAGGCTGCCACACCTGTGATTTGGTGTCTACATCACGTGTCTGCCCTGAAGCTGTTAGTTTTATTGTTTTGTGTTACTTGGAATTGAACCCAGAGCCTCTTTATCACTGAGCCACATTCCTAGCCCTTTTAATTTTGAAACAAATTTTCACTGAGTTGCTTAGGGCCTCACTAAATTTCTGAGGCTGGGCTCAAACTTGTGATATTCCTGCCTCAGTCTCACTAGGACTACAGGCATGTACACCATGCCTGGCTTCTGAAGCTGGTAGTTGTAAAAGAGCTTTCAGATTTATCTCATTTTGCCAGAGGCAACATCTTCCTTCTTGCCTTAGTTTTCTTTATTTTTTTGATGGGCGAAGGTGTGTGTGTGGGGGGGATTATTTCTGAAAGCTCAGCTAGACTGTTTTCATTGCCTCCCCATGATTCTAGAATCTACTAGTCTCTCTCTCTCTCTCTCTCTCTCTCTCTCTCTCTCTCTCTCTCTCTCTAATATTTTTAGTTGCAGGTGGACAAAATAACTTTATTTACTTAATTTTTTATGTGATGCTGAGGATGGAATGTAGTGCCTCACATGTGCTAGGCAAGTGCTATCCCACTGAGACACAATCCCAGCCCAATCGCTCTCTTAAAAAAAAAAATTATTGGGGAGGTACTAATATTTCTTATAAACAAGTCTCTATCTCCAACTTTTTTTTCTTGTATTATGTTCTCTATGCTGCAGTTTAGTCTTCCTAAAATTTACATCTAAACACATATCCTAATCCATTTGAGCTATTATAACAAAATAACCAGAGACTGCATAGCTTTCATAATACACTTTTTTTTTTTTTTACATTTCTGGAGGCTGGGAAGTCCAAGATCAAAGTACTAGCAGAATCAGTGTCTGCCCAGGGTCCACTTCCAGGCTCAGAGATGGACATCTTCCTGTTGTTTCTTCAAGAGTAGCAAAAGAGGTGAAGGAGCTCACTGGGGTCTGTGTTGAAGGGCACTAATTCCATTCATGAGGGCTCTACCCTGAAAACCTAACCACTTAAAGGTCCCAACACATTTGTACTGGGGCTTACGTTTCAACATAGAAATTTGGAGTGGGCGACATAAACATTCACTCTATAATGTCATATCAACCTCTACTTAGAACCCTTAATTGAATCCCTATTATTTGTAAGACAGAGCTCAAAATCTTTTATGTGGCCCAAATCTTGGTTTGATCTCCGCCTTCCTCCGCCTTGACCCTTTACTGGCCTCCTACCTCTCTCCTTCTCCCTCTTTTGTATGCAACTCTGTTTCTTTCATTTTCTCTGATAGACCATGCCCTTTCTCCTGTCTAGAGCTGTCATACTTACCTTTTGTTTTTTAAGAACACTTTCCTCAATTGTATCCATTATTCAGATTTCATCTTAGATGACCCTTCCTCCAGGAAGACTTCCCTGATTCTTCATATCTGGCTTAGACAATCCCTGGGTCCCCACTGCACCTTATTAGGCATTGTATCACACTTGTTGTGACTTTCTATATCCTGCCTATATGGTAAGTTCTGTTTGGACAAGGATCCTTAGTACCTAGCAGAGTCCCTGGCATATGATAAATGTTAAATATTTACTGAATGAAAGCGAAATAATCTTCCTCCTTAAAAATGTTATTAATTCCATATGCTGATTGATTGAGTTTAACTAGTATAGGGGAATATATTAAATATAGTATATATGCAGTAAATCAACTAAGCAACCAATTTCCCTCCTTTCTTGCCTTCCTTTCCTCTTCTTTTCCACTAATATTTACTGAGAATTTTTGTGCCAGTTTAAAGAGACATTTGGCTAAAAATAAAATTGAGCCTTTTTTTTTTTTAATATTTTCTTGGTTGTCAGTGGACTTTATTTATTTATATGCAATGCTGAGAATTGAACCCAGTGTCTCACACATGCTAGGCAAGTGCTCTACCACTGAACCACAACTCCAGCCCCCAAATTGAACTTTTTAAGTTTGAAGTAAAAACTTACTAGTAGTATTCTTTGACCCAAACCCTGAGGCATGATTGGATAGAAGAGAGTCCTTGATGGACTCTCAAACCCTGATTGAGATTGATATCTAGGGTGATCTCCAGGCTTACTTTGTCCTGTCTTCTGTTGAAAAATCCCAAGCACCTTTGCAGGGTCTCTGGAAAATTACTAGAAACACGTATACTATCTGACATGTCATGTCCAGAGCACCTGAATGTAAAGTTCCTGCCTGCCTGGAAGATGCTTAATTGGATAAGGCAAAAAAATATGATGGAATGTCCTTTCATTGACATAAGGTCAGGTTGAATTCTCATCATATAAGGGAATGGCTTTTGTACAAACCATTGATAAAAATAAAAGGTCTCAGTGACACATCACTTATTTTTATGCAGATATTTTTTTTTCTGGGCCATGATCTGTTATTACTGTTGAACATTTGCCAGCTTTGTGTCTAACCATGCTATTGTTAAATTTTCTATAATAGTCTGGCTCATGTGCTGAACCTTCAAATTATTCAAATAAAATTTCACATTTAAAAATTTATGAATAGTAATTGTGATTTATTTATGAATTTTTAAAATCACAAAACCCTTTTCAAGGGGCTTTAGTCAGTAAAAATAATGATTAGGTTGAGTAAGCAAATTGCTGTTTATATTGGCCAAAATGTTTAAATATCAGCAAGTTCATATAATTTAATTTAATAGTTGTGGAAGAATGTTATACAATACTACATTGGCATAGTGAATTTTTAAAATTTCTGTTTCTACTTTCTTCATGTAAAATTAGCAAATTCTGTGTCACGTTAGGAACAACTGGCTTTTATGGTGTTGTAACAAATGGTTCAGCAAATGAAAGTGAACAAAGGCAACTGGATGTTTCTTACTTGGTAAATTTAGAAGTGTCTAAGAAGGACAGACAGGATTTCTGTGCCGATTGTCAGTGTATTCGTGGGTTTTTTAAATCCCCAGAGTTTACATGTCTAAGTACTCCCCCCCACTCCCGAATTATGAGAAACATATAGGGTTTATTCCCCTTATGTTCACCTAGAAACCTTGGACACAACAATAAAGAAGTGGTTCCGTAAGATATAACCATGTAACTTTTAATGCTAATGAGACTTTTTTTTTTTTTTTTTTTGCCAGAAACCATTGTAACAGATTTTTATTTAAAAATGAGAAACAAGAACATTAAGATGGTTTATTACAGGAAGAGTCTTTATAGGGCTTTGGTTTCAGTGAGCTGGTCTGTGACAAAGCAAATTGATGGCTGTGATAGGCTAGTGATGTCATTGTGATGTCAATACTCCTACTTATCTTGCACATGCTTGCTAGTTTGGAACACTTTATGTTGAACTGTGATAGGGGAAACAAGACAGTTCTGTATGCAGAAGCCCATCATGGCTGTAACTGGAGATGAAACAGGTAAGAATTTTAAAGTGGAATTTAAATTAATTCTGCAGATATTTTTGAAGTTTAGAAAAAGTATTTAAGAATATCTGAGTGTTTGAAAAAGTATTACTTTCTAGTTGCTTAAGAATAAGAGAAGTTTTTAGATACATATAAATCTGTACATTATTAGCTCACTTCTTTAAGGCATCTTGGTGTAACTGCTTCTTTGCTCCGTACTGTACTGCTTGCTTGATTAAAGTAGTAACCCTCTGTGCCTCTCTTTCTCCCTTCACCATCTCTTTCCCTCCTGCACGCAGCTCTGCCCTACTAAAATAAGCTATTATTCCATCTGCAACCTGTTGCAAATTCAGTCTAGCTACAAGTTAAACATAGTGTTCACCATTGTAAAAAATTAAGCTTCCGATTTCATTACTGCGTACAAAGGTAGCTCCAAACAGGATAGGAGAAACCAGTGTGTTGTGAATGTTTTACGTGCCTACTTGTTTCTTTCCTCCTGTATTTAAAATGGTGTCTGTTCCTCAGCTAATTGAGTTCAAAGGGCTGACGTCATTACATTTCCTGGAATCATGTTTCAGCAGGGAAGTGGAAAAGTTAAACTCCAAGCGAGCTGCACATTGACGTCAGCTCCGAGTCATGTTGTGATTTAGTCAGTTCCTTTCTGCTTTGTCAAATGCTGCTGACAGATTGAGTTAACTAGCTCACTACTGCCTCTATCTCCAAGATCTTAGACTGAATAGTTTTTCATGTAAGCCTTATTTTAACATTTCTCTTGAGGTAAGTATCTGCTTAAAGAGGGGAACCATTTTATGCCCCCTATACTGCTTGCCTGAGCAGAAGTTGGGGGCTTTCAGGAAAAATTAAAGGGTAAGGTTGTGCCTCCTGATGAGGCTGCTGTCGCTGCATGTGCTTGGTGACAAGTGGCCTATATATAGCCTGGAGGAGTTCTTTGGCTTTTGCTGGATCTATAGGAACTTGGGATTCAGAGTGCTCTCTGGTGCCCAGTCAGGGAAGTGCTTGTCTTTTCATTGTTCCCCACACCCTAGCCTCTGGTATTTAAATTTGTAATCAGTAATTCTCTTTACTGTGGTTTGATTGTCTTAGTTACAGATAAGTGATTTTGAAAGATTTAGTTACTAGTGACCTTTGTGTGCTTGCAACATTGTTTATTCACTGTTCTTATTTGTAACCCAGTTCTGAATTTGCAGTTGAATTAAGAATGAATGGGTGATTACACAACTTCATCACAATTTAGTTCTTTAGAGTTAGTTGGGTCTCAGCCCCCTTCCTGGATTGAAACATTCCATTGTCTTGAGCAAGTAAAACCTGCATTGAATTGTTTTTAAGTTTGTCTTAAAGACTTTTTTTTAAAAGAAGTTTTGTGAAGTTATAGAAGTGCTGTAAATTGTAGAAGGTCTCAAGTGATAAATTTATTATAAGATATAGATGAATTTAAAATGATCTCAAATACTGCATGTCATATGATTCTTAGAAACAATGGCATATTTGTCCATATGTTTACTTTCTAGACATTATTGGTTTATCTTTCTTTCTTTTTGGTGGGTAGGTACTGGAAATTAAAACCAGGAGTGCTTTATCACTGAGCTATAGCCCCAGCCCTTTGTTGTTGTTGTTGTTGTTTTGAGACAAGGTCTCACTAAGTTGCTGAGGCTGGCCTCCAATTGGTAATTCTCCTGGCTCAGTTTCCAGGGTTGGTGGGATTACAGGATTGTGCTACCATGCCCTGCTGGTTTATATCTTTCTTTTAACTAAGTCTTTAATTCCTGTTCCCCATTTGACTTGTCTAAGCATGAGAATTATAGCATTACAATAAAATAAAATGATAACAAATACTGAATATATTGAAAGATGAATGTTAAGGCAATTATTTATGTAAAGAGCTTAAGCAAAATTATTAAACATAAATTAAACATTTTTATACATTTATGTTTACAGAATGAACATACCATCCTTGAATTTTTTCCCCACAGTTTAAACAGTAATGCTTAATCATAATTCCCTTTCCAATTTAAAATTTTCAAATGTTGAAACAAAACTATCAAGCAATATAGAGCATTCTTTCACAAATCCTGATTGTGCTTTTAGAAATAATTATTTTCCAAAATCTCCTCAGTTCTCATAGAATTAATGCTATTTGAAAACCTATTTTAAAATGAAAAATAAGTTATATTGCCTTTTTTTCCACAAGTGCAAAAAGAGCGCAGGATTTAAAGATATTTTCAGAGGTACAGCAGAGCAGCTTTCAGAACCAGGCCTTTGGACTGTGGACTTGCAAACCAATGGGATTGATCTAGTTCAATGGCTTGCAAACTCTTTGACCATGACCCATATTTTATATTATGACACAGTGGATGTATGTATGTGTGTGTGTGAATGTGTGTGTGTGTTTGTGTATACTTTCTACATTTATATAAAATACATTTCAAACAGAATACTCACACTTCCTTTTCTAATTTTCTTTTAATGCTATTCTTAATTTGTTTTTTCTTTTTGTGGTGCTAGGAGTTGAACCCAGGGCCTCATGCCTGCTAGGGAAGCTCTCTACCACTGAGCTATATTCATACCTCCCTTAAAACACAGTTCTTGACTCATGAAATTAATTTTATGACCCACTAATGATCTACAACTTACAGTTTGGGGAAAAAAAAAATTGATCTAGACCAAAATCAGGCTCCTAACACAAATGACTGGCCTGTAAGATTTTAGCAGCATTTACTTAGAGGATCATGGAAGTGTCTGTTTATAGTTCATTATTGATTCTGTTGGGTATCATTTAAATTTTTATAAGAAAAAAATTTGTTTTATTAATAAATTAATGTTAGGAGCATAATTCTTTCCTTTAGATTCTGAGTTTTAATAAGTTGTATTCAAATTGAGTTTCTGAATTGTTAACAACAAACTTTCCATCAATTTTGGATAATGATATCTTTAATTTTCACCTTTGTGAAAGGAGGTTATTGGCCATGACTTTTTAAGGCGTTTTAGACATAAAAGAATGAATTTGGTCAGGTTTAACAGCTTCTTGAAGTTGGTAGCAAAGCAAGATATAATTATGTTAGACATGAAAATAACAAATCACTTATCTTGACTTTAAATAAAACTTGAAAGTTCTGTGGAGGATGAAATGGAAAATGGCTTTATTCTGTTTTCCTATTATTTAAAAAAAAAGAAAAAAGGGAGAGATGCGAAATGCTAAGGCCTCATGCATACTAGGCAAGTGCTCTAACAACTCCAAATATCCAATTAAAATAAAAGAAAATTTAATGCAATGTAATTTGGGACATTTATTTCATTTTGCCCCACCCATTTTATTTGCCTATATGAATATATTGCCTAATTAAATAATTATGATGCTACTTTGCATTTGTGTAAATAGAAAAATAAAAATCACTTAACATTGCAAATAAGTATAAATATAAATTGAAGAAAGTGCTATCAAAGTAACTATCAAGTTGTGTATATGGAAAGCAGGAAATATAGGTTAAAAGATTAGGGTGAGCCTCATTAAGGAAACCATATTTAAATAGTGAAATAGAAAAGCACTTTACATGGGTTACAATTGAAATACACAAGACAGATACTGTTATACTCTTGTGTATAAATGAACGCAGATCCTGACAGGTAAATGACCTTTCCAGCTTCTAAATGTACCAAGTGGTGAGCCAGTTTGGGTCTTCAGACTCCCTTGGTTCTGCTCATAGTACATTACATTGCTCTCAAAATTCACCTGACAAGGCCAAGAATGTAGCTCAGTGGTAGAGCACTTCCAGCCATGTCCAAAGACCTGGATTTGATCCCCAGCACTGGAAGAAAAAAAAAAATTCACCTGACATGGATAAATTAATATCAATGTAACATAAGTCTTAATAGCATGCTACACATTGGTTATAAAATATGCAAAGTGAATTAGCGTTCTTTTAAGTAGTCAAATTGGACTTTTTGCTAGAATTTTTATTATTACTCTCATAGGACAATAGAGCATTTATTTGCCAATTTATAGAACATTAACTTTCAAGTATTCATAACTTTCCATTTTTTACCCAGACTTTCAAAGATTTTCACTTAATAAACAACCTAAGAAGGCCCCTTATGTGTAACTTCGCTTGATTGTGGTAATCATTTCATGATGTGTGTGTGTGTATATATATATATATATATATATATATATATATATATATATGTATATATTTCAAAGCATCACTTTGTACACCTTGAATATATATAATTTTACTTGTCAACTATACCTCAATAAAGCTGAAAAATTTAATGACAATTCCATGTGGTCTATGTGTTATAGTAATTGTAATGAATTTGAAAATGTTTAGTACTTTAATAGGTATTTTTGGTAAATTTAATTTCTCCAAAGAAACCAGAGCAATGGAAAAAGGAAGTATTTTGGCAGTATGGGACACAAGGCATAGATAAGTCTGTTTTGGGTATTAGGGGCACTGGTGTGGTGGTAGGAAGGGAGAGAACTGAAGAACAAAAGTGGAGAAGATGCCAGTAGCTTACTGGAGAAAGGGAAAGCCCTCTCCCCTACACTTATGACTTTTAAGTTACTTCTGTTGCTTACTTAGGTGTATTTAAAATTACTGGCACATGGAAATAAAAATGAAATTCTAGAATAAAAGGTAGGAACTTCCTCTATAAAGATGTTTTCCTTCAGTTAATATGCTTAGTACTTATGGATACTTCAGCAAATAAACAGTCAAATAAAATCACCATCATATTGGGAGCTGGACAGTTGGACAGATTGTTTCACTTTGGTAGCTATCAGGATAGGCATTTGGCTGGGTTTCTTATTTATTTCTTTGTTTTCTACCCTGACTTGTGGGTTTTTTTAGTTTTCTTTTTACCAATCTGACAAGAGTATATCATTTGGTCATTTGTGATATTCTCCACTTTTGAGGTTCTGTCTTAAGTGATTATATATATATATATATATATATATATATATATATATATATACACTGAAAGGGACATTTTATGTTATCTTTTAATAGTTTGTTGTTTAAAGGGATATAACAATGTATTATAAATGTAAAAAGTTTTTAGGCATATTTTTAAGCACAATAAGGAGTAAGAACCATATATTTTGACTCCTCAGGTTTGTTAGAAGGGAAACTCCAGGGGAAATTTATTTAAGGATGTTATAAGCCTTTTAACTCAAATACAGTATAAGCATAATTTGGAACATTGTCTTTCAGAATTTAAGGAAGGGAAGAAGAAGGGAAATAACATTTGCTGAATGCCTACCATGTGCCAGGCACTGTGCTAGACACTTTGACATACATTACAGGGTTTATTGTGAGTATTAAATGAGATAATGTATCCCCATTTTACAGATGAGGAAACTGAACTTGCCCCAAGTCACATGGCTGGTAAGTGGCAGAGCTGGACTAGAACCCAGACTCCAAATCCCATGTTTTTTTTCTGCTGTACCATGTTTAAAGCTTGCAAATAGAGGTATGAAGTTAATGATCAGAATTGAGAGTTCTAGAAATTTTCTTTTCCCATGAAATACTTGACACCAACCCCTCTAGAATTCTTTCATTTCAAGAGTTAGATGGTTGGAAATACATTATAGTTAAAACCCTCTTCATCTAAAAAATGCCACGTTAGATTTATTTAAGGGAAGATTTAGGAAATAATGCTTTTTATCAAGAAAGGCCACTTTGAATAAATACATATCTTGTTGCTCTCTTTCCATATCATAGTGATAAAGATTTAAATATCATAATTAAGTCTATAAGGAAGACTACTTACTTTAATCATCCCAAATACCTGTACAACACCCTAGGAAGTTCAAAATCATCTTTGTAGTATACACATAAACTCATGAAATAACCATTATATGCCAAATACTGTGCCAGATTATAGGACACACCAAGGTAAAAAGATTCTGCCCCTGACTTGTCTTAATATTTTTACTTGCCTGAGAAAATTAGTGTATAAATAAATATCATATTATCTATCTTCAACTGTAATTTTTAAGCCCTACTGATGACCTCTATATTTTTGGAAATAAAAATGAAATTCTAGAATAAAAAATATTTTGGACACTTTTACTAGTTATAAGGGACAGTAATCAGCCTTTATAAGAAAATAGGAATAAGAAATGGTCATCATGGAGTATAGGATGCTTCTTTGAACTGTGATCCTTGGTTTCTATTCTGCTTTAAATGACCACTGAATTCATAACATCAGAAACTAAAGCCTACTAAGGTTAACACTGTTTCATAACTTATTTCAGAAAAAACAAGAAATTCTCTTTGCCCATATCTTTTTAACATACTTTACTAATTAGATTACATTTGAATATATGGAATTTATCCCTTGACCTCTGAAAGTATACCATCATATAGATTCTTTAGGCTATTATAGAAATTTATTCTAATTCCTATTAATTTATACTAATTCATATTTCTGGCTTGAACTAATAAACTATAATCTCTATTTTAACAAGAATAAAATTAACATGTAACATATCTGGAACATTATAATAAAACCCTGTTTACCTAACATCCCAAAACTAATATATCCAGAAATATCATCCCCTTCTGTTATTTTAAAGTGATCTTTTTTTTTTTCCTGAGCTATTACTTCAAAATGTTTTAGGAATACTCCACTTGGAATTGCCACTATCCTTCATGCTGCCCAGTTTGGTTCTTCAAAGGTGGCTGTGGCTGTTCAAAACAGGCAAAAGTTGTTTGGAACCATTCCTGATGTCCATTTTCATCTGTGAAGTATTTCTACCCACCATCCCTTTTCCCAATTTTTTAAAAAAGTTTGTTTTAGTAGATACTCTTAGCTTTTGTATTTCATGTAAGCATTCTGTTCTAACTTCATATTACAGAAGGTAGCAAAGGTATACAAAACTAAAGAGTATAAGAAACCCTTATGCACCCTTATATTAGGGGTTTTCTTTTTTTGTTGTTTTTTGTTTTCACTTCTTTGTGAGCACTGTTTGAAATAGCAAGCTTAGAACTAGGCCTGCATTGAGGCTGCCTGCCCATGTCAACACAGTAACTTGTAAATTTCTCATTCCTCACTGGCTATTGTTCCAATTTTAGAAAGCCTGTAGCCTCCAGCTGTTGCATTGTTTAAGCTTTTATTATCCTATAACCTTCTTCCTTGGATGTGGGTAAAGAGAAAAGAGGGGAGGACTATATTATTCTATGTTCCACTGCATCTCCTCTGACATTATGATCAAGCTGTTTAAATAATCAGTGCATTATAATTTCTTTTATGTATATAATATATATAAACTTTATGCATATAATGTATATATGTATATATGTGTATATATATATGTGTGTGTGTGTATATATATATATACACACACAGGATTCACTGTGGTATATTTTTACAATGGACATAGCATAATTTGGTAGATTTCATTCTCCAGTACTTGCCTATGCCTTCTCCTCCTCCCTTAATTTCCTTCCTCTATTGGAATCTCTTCTATTTTCCTGAAATCCCTTTTAAAATTCTTTTTCTTTTTTTCCTCTCTAGATTCCACATGAGAGGAAAAATTGACATTTGACTTTCTGGGCCTGACTTAATTCACTCAGCATGATGTACTCCAGTTAAATCCATTTAAAAATAATAATAGGGAGATTAGTAGAATATATCTCATGGATCAGAAAGAGGGAGGAGGAGAGGGAAAGGAAAGTTACTGGGGAATGAGATTGAGCAAATTATGTTATGTACATGTTTAAATATGGCATGAAGATTCCATTATTACATATAATTATAATGCACCAGCAAAAACTAAAAAGAGATTTAAAAAAAAAATCTTAAGTTAGTTTACCAGAGGTTTTCTTCTTAAATATCTCAAAGCTATAAAAATTAATGAGGCATCTGTATATAATGTTTTGAATAGCCATCAAAACAAACATGTGACTTTTTCTAAGTTTAGTAATAGAAATTGGCTGATGATTATTTATCACAGTTACTATTTATCGCCATTATTTTTAAATTATAAAAAGAAGAGGCAGTAAGTACTACCTTAAAAATAGTATTTTTATTAATTCTGGGAAGACCTTTAGATAATCTTCCCTCAAAGCCACATTTTTCATTTGTTTTATTCTGTTTCTTAATCTTCAAGTCCTAAGGGAAAAACTAGTATTCACCAAATAAAAGAAAATAGTATTTAATTTTTAATTTTTAAAAACTGCTTGTCTATTTTCAAAGATAGTATTCTATTTAGGTGAAAAATTCCTGTATTGAAAAAAATTTCAGTTCTTACTCAATGGTTATAATACTTTTTTAAAACTATGAAAATACTATATTTCCTTTTGAATGGCATTTGGTTCAGATCAATTTTTATAAGATTTAATAACTTTTTTAAAACTTTTTTTTTTGCATTTAGCTTTGAGAGAGTATATATTTTGTAATATCAAATTGACTCTGAACCATATGTTTTCAAAGTTGAAGCGTTGGTGGTAGAAATGTATTTCATCACTCAAATCCATCTGTCTTTTCTAGGAAGCTGTGTTTAATGCAGTTGACAGACTATTTTGAATATAAATAAGGAAACTTTGAGAATTTTCTTTCAGTATTCAATCTGAATACTAAGTAAATATTATATATTAAGAAAATGATTTTTTGTATGAATACTTGGGAATATATTACTTAAAAAAGAAAAAGAAAGAAAGAAATCCCAAGTAGAACACTTTTAAGAAAAACTTTGTTGGTTTCCATTTGTTTTGGGTTGTTGTTTTTAACTAAAACCTCAGTGAGCTAGATTCCTTCCCTTTTCTCAAACATTTTCTGGTAATAGGATTTGCACTTATAGACTTTTAGTGACTGTTTCAGGCATGATATAGAAGGTATAGAGAAATCTCTCCATTGGCATGTTCAAGCGATGGAGATGTTCTGCTTAATTAAAATTTTTGTAGTGCTGTGCTAGAGCTAGCACCTTCTGGCTAGCTATAGCCAATTTTATGCTTTCAGCATCTTTATGAATTGATTGTTAAAGCAACCTTTGTTAAAAGTTAAATATATATGCATACACACTCATACAAATGAATTACACTAAAAAGCAACATCACTACTCAAAACTCATCATTTCTCATAAATTTTGTCTGTGCTCTTGAGATTATTTACATATTTTTATCTGTATGGTGTGCTACTTATTTGTGTTTCTTCCCAACTGTACATTCAGTGAAATCATATTGCTATCTTGACATTGGCCATTGTGAAAGTATTTCCATCATGGAAATCATCAAACACTACAGATTAGGACTTTCTCTCCCCAATCCCTAGAGAACTGTTTCTTAAATATTTTATCAACACACTACTGATTTTAGGCTAAATGAAATGTAGTTAAAAAGCTTTGATTAAAAACTTGTCTAAAATGCATTAGGACATTGTTCTACCTTAAATATAGTCAGAGTTGAAATATTCATATCATAGTTCTATAAATGCTGAAGGAGATCTTTGCTATTTAAGATCCCTGTAATACTCAGAGTAATTATCTTTAACATTAAAAGATCATCTCTAGTGACATATAAAAAGTATGTTGTTTTCAGATTAATTTTATATAAAATATCAACTTGTGAATTGTTTATATAAACTTGCTATATTTTATTTCATTGCAGCTGCCACAGGTGACATGCCCACTTATCAGATCCGAGCTCCTACTACAGCTTTGCCACAGGGCGTAGTGATGGCTGCCTCACCAGGAAGTTTGCACAGTCCCCAGCAACTAGCAGAAGAAGCAACACGTAAACGAGAGCTGAGGCTAATGAAAAACAGGTAAGCTGTTTCACCAGAAATCAGAACTCTCTTATAGGACACATAATTTTTTACTGTGGGATTTTAAAAAAATTAAACTTTTCCTAAGCTCTTTCTCCCTAGTTAAGTGTTATGTGCATTGTGTGTGGGTTTGTGCTCTGCATGTAATGATAACTAGAATGTCTTCTAGTTAAGAGTACCTAGCCATTAAACTATCTCATTAGAAGGTACATCCCAATGTGTTATAATGGTGATGTTCAAAAAATACATTACTTAAAAAAAAAAAGATTTCATTATAAATAAAATTTCATTTGTATATGGCTTTTACTTTGTGAGGCAGTATTATAAGTATAATTTTTTAACTCTTTATTAGCACAATAAATTTAAGAATTATAAAGCATGTTTGAAATTTTAATCCTTTCAGCTATTTCTAACTTTGGTTTTCATTATTACAACAAAATATGTGCTATTTTGACAAATTCTACTCAAGTACACATACAAAATAAGAAAAATAATTAGAATAATCCATGGCTTCGCCACTTAGAGATACCTCCTAACATTACAGTATGTATGTTTCCAGTCTATTCTTTCATTTTTCTCTCACATATTCTTGCTTGTTGTCTCTGTAATTATATTTTTTAAAAATCAGTATATAATCAAATGCTGTTTTCCCCAAAAAAGTTTTAATTTAATCTTAAACAAAAATTTATTTTAACTTGAATATTATTTTTTGTTTTAGTTCTTATTTTGAAGAATGGCACATATTAATTTGATTTCCAAAATAAACAGAATTGTACAAGAGTTTCCTTGTACAATTTCTTGTCACCTCTTACTAAGTGTTAAATAATGTCCTTATTTTAAGAAAACAAAGCATCAGATGGCATCATCTGCTTGCAACCGATCAAGACTGCAAGGTGGTCTTAATCATCCTGATTAACCTACAAATTGTGGCCTCTGGATCCCTAAAATTCAGTTTTGAGTTTATCACTGTCCTTTGTAACCGTGTGAACTAGATGTAGCTATATTTACTTTATTTTTGTGGTCTTTTAAATGATATGATTTGATATATTATGAGAATCATTGAATTGGCTACTTCTTCCCAAACTTATTAGCTTCACAAATCATTAGATAAGAGTTTTGTACACTGGAGAACTCAACAGATAGATACCAGGGATAAGGTCAATAAGGTATATTCATCTTTGTCAGTGGTTGTTCCAGGTTTACTAAGTCATGCTAGGTTCCTGCTTTTCACTGTCAGCTCTTTGCTGAGAAATCTAGGGGCTGAATGGGTGGGGCTCACACAGCATCACAGTTGTTTTATGGCAGTCCTATTATCATAGATGCTTAAGCTTGGCAGGATGGTGCATTCCTGTAGTATTAGCATCTTGGGAGACTGAGCACATAGAGTTCAAGACCAGCCTAGGCAACATACCAAGACCCCATTTCAAATAAAACAAAAAACTCAAATTTGGGCTGGGGATATAGCTCAGTTGGTAGAATGCTTGCCTCGAGTGCATATGGCCCTGGGTTCAATCCCCAGCCCCACAAAAACAAAACAAAACAAAGTAAAACATAAAACAACTCAACTTTGATCTGATGGAGAAATATGGATATTTTTATGAATTTTCTGAGATTTCAGGAGCTCTGAATATAATTGCTTCTGTGGTCATAGAATATACATTATGAAGGTCAGTTTAGAAATGTGAAGTACACTATTAATGCAAACTATAAAATTGTTCATTGATGTCTCATTTTACCCAAAGAAAATAAAACACAGAAATAGTCTTATTTCCCTTTTGCAATTATTCTCTATCCTTATTTTTTATTTCAGAAATTTCTCAATAGAAATGCCAATGTGAAAAATAAAATATTAGGCAGTGGTTTCCTATAAATGTGCCACACAACTACCTACATATTCATGAAATCTCCCTGAGGGGAGAAAATTACAAAATTTGTATTAAAAAACATCTAATAAATAATAACTGATTGATTTGTGTTTGGACTGCAAATAACCAAGGGAAATGGAGGCTTAAACTTTTAAGTGATTTTTTTTGATCCTATATAGCAGATCAAGAGGTATGTACAGCCAGAACTAAGCCTCAGGAGTGTCCTCCCTGCCCTGTCATCTTCAGCATATACAACTTGCTCTTAGGATCACAATATGACTGCTGCACTTCGAGGCATTGCATTAGATGGGAAGAAAGGAGAATGGCTAGAGCCAAAAATTGGGGCTAGCTGAATCTGCCCCTTCTGAAAACCTCCCAAAAACTTTCACCTACATTTCATTGATTAGAAATAGGTTTCTAGTCCCTAACTGTAAGGGATTATGAAGAATGTTTATTTTAGCTTTCTAAATCTCAATTTCAGAGCAACACAAAGAAAAGGAGCTGACAAAGGGCTATTAGGTGGCTCAATATCTATTTAGCTGATTTCAAGTACTTTATTCCTACTGTTTCTTTAACTTTCACATAATTTCTTTAAGATAAAGGGTCTGGTTATTATTTCCACTTTACAGATGAGGAACTGAGGTTTGGAGAGTTTAAGTAATAAATTGGCCAAGGTCACATAGCCTAAGAACCAGGATATGCAATCAGACAGTCTTTAGGCAAGAGTTGTCTACTACCCTAACACCAGGGTCACCTCAAAAGGCCCTCAATGTAAGCTTCATATTTGACTTCATGGAAAGTAGGTAGGTTTCATAATTAACATGAAAGATCCCTTATATATATTCTCTCTTTTTATTCCTTGATGGCATCTATAGAAGATATTTAATTATATTTCTAATTATATTTCTAGCAATAGCGCATCAGTTTTAATTCTTTATAGCCTTATCAGCCTTTCCACTTTGCCATGTCATTCCATCTCCATGCTGAGGATAGATCCAGTTAAATACAAGGCCTGTGAACTGAGCTATTAATAGAAGAGACAGGTGTTTTCCATAGCTAAAAGTATTTAGGAATGTACCATCCACTGGTGTGATCATTTAAAGCTTTAGCTTAGAACATTTTTACCCTAGTAACACATACACACACACACAAATGTAAAATATGAAATATGGATATTTACAATCAGCAGCTTGGTAAATAAAATTTTAAAAATTAAATACCTCACTATATTGCTCTTTAATTTTCATTTAATGGTAAGTTGCTGTATAGAATGTTATCTTCCTTCTAGACCCAGAATTTAATGATCTAATAATGAAAACCTTGGTATTCACAAATGAATTTTAGTGACTTTGTGGAAGAGAGTTGAATTATATTACCAAACTGGCAATTTGAAAGTGTGTTTGGATTTATTCTTAACTTTTCCCTGTGCATCATTTATATTAAATCAATCACTATTTTATCAGGTTCAATTCACTTCTACATTTTTTATTTTCTCATTAACCAGTTGAGAAGTCCAGAACTTTGTGAGTTTACAGGGTGAGTGCATTGTTCTTGGCTAGGAAGTAAGGGTTGTTTGTTCTTTTCCTGCAGTTTATTGGGTTTTCAAAGTTTCTTTTCTGCTAACTCTTGTCCTCCCATAGAGAAAACACATATCCAGTTTTTAAGAGTCAGCTATCCTAAAAATAGAACAATTGATCAAAGGCGTTGTATGCGTCATTTAGTTCAGGATTGCAGCAATGCTAATTGGTATTACAGTAACTAGTATTTAGATACATAACATTACTTTTATTAAAGTATAGGATAATGATAATATATGGCAGTTTTTCTGGAATTGAATACTCTAAAATAAAGCTGTTATCAGAGAGCTTCTGTGAAGATTTAAGTGAAATAGTTGCTGTCCCCTCCCACCCTGGAAAAAAAAAAGAGAGAGAAAGCAAATTGTTTTTTAGTGGAATTATGCATGAAAATGAGTAACTCATCTATTTATTGGTGGTTGTTGCTTTGGCTGCTGGTTTGTTCTTTCCTTTGGGCATGCTTATAGTGCTTTAAAATTCAGTGTATTGCATATTAAATGCATGTGAGTAGAGAACAGTCTCAAAATGCACTTTTGAATTATTCAGTAGCTTCCTTTTCCATAATTTCAATTGTGGTGTTTTCACATTTGTGCATTTAAATTGCCTGAATTATTGAGTATTGCATTATGTAACTCTGTTTTTCCTTTTTTAATTTTCAGAAAGTGTCCTTTTTATTTTGTTTTATAAAAATGCACATGTCTTATTTATTGTTGTAATTTATCCATGTTGTGTTTTCTAGCCAAAAAAAAAAAAAGAAAATTTTTTTTCAGTCATGAATGATCTTGTTTTATTGAAATTTGACAAAGATCTTCAATATTGACATTTAAGGTTTCTGAGGAACAATTCTTCTAATCATTTTGACCAAATAAAATGTATTCATTGTGATGGAATATGTGTAGCTTTTGGCAGACAAAAAATAATTAAGAGGATCAAAAGGATCTATAAATGTTTTTGTTGATATTCCACTTGGGAATGTGGTCCTATTGTGTAGTTTACTGAACACAGTTCTGGTCATTGTTATCATGGAAAGTGTGTCCTAAGAAAACACCAATTGGGCAAATTGATCATGCTCTCAAGTTGTTCCTGTTGTCTTACAAAAAGGCATGTGCTTGGTTCCATTTGTTGTGTGGCTTTGTACAAATTTTTCCTAGGTTTGATTGGCTATTGATTTTGGGGGGCACAAGTCATTGAGCCACTCTGGATTGTACTGGGAGGTTGTTCCTGTAGTCATTTGCCTTGTGTTGGTTCCAGGGAAGCTGCCCGGGAGTGTCGCAGGAAGAAGAAAGAATATGTCAAATGTCTTGAAAATCGTGTGGCTGTGCTTGAAAACCAAAACAAGACCCTCATTGAGGAACTCAAGGCCCTCAAAGATCTTTATTGCCATAAAGCAGAGTAACTGTCTTTGACTTGGACCTTGTTTACTCTAAACTCTAATCAAGGCAGGCGTTGCACCAGTTCTACTAATTGCCATGTGGACTTGTGGAAGGGACATATGTGACCCTTAACTAAGAATCCAGTTTGGCTTAGTGTTTGAAATTGAATTGGGAATATTGTTCCAGGATTTGGAGTGCAACTGTGTTCACATTTACCAAGCTTACTTCAATCTGTTTGTCAATAGCATGCAAAAAATGTTTTGTTTGCCCTTTGCTTCTACTTTTTCCAGGGAAGCTGCTAAAGAATGTCGACGTCGAAAGAAAGAATATGTAAAGTGTCTGGAGAGTCGAGTTGCAGTGCTGGAAGTGCAGAATAAGAAGCTTATAGAGGAACTTGAAACCTTGAAAGACATTTGCTCTCCCAAAACAGATTAGTAGAAATATTTAACTATGAACTGATTACAACATGTACAGTTGCTTTTGAAGGCAATACAATATATAGCCGGCAAGAATTATGGCTTTTTTCCTTTGTATCATTCATCTTACTTTCTAATCTCTAACATTCCTAAAATGCTTCCCTGTACGTAGTTAACTCTTAGGTATAACTTCAATTTTTTTAAAAAGAGACAAACTGTAAAAAATGTATGTAACAAATTCTTAAAATGAAATATTTGTAAGACTGTTCCAATGCTACATATTTGCAGTTCCCAATCTCTGTGTCATGAATAGTGTCCTATGTAATAAAACTTTTTGCAGGTCTTTAAAATCATTTTAGGAAAGGATGATCAAATGCATCCAGCAGTAAAATAAAGTTAAACCACAAAAATACCTCAGGAAAGAATTGAAAGAAAGTATATCTAATGACATGCCTATATGAGAAGAATAGCCTAGAAATGAATTTTTGGCAGATTTTTGTATTAGTCACTTTGTAAAGAAAATATTATACAGCTGTCCTTGAATGCTATAGTTGAAAACAGTTTTAATAGAACCATGTTGGTTGCACTTTGTAGTATTTGGTGCTTATTTAAATTTCTGAACATATATTACAGTTTTTTACTCTATTGTGTAATATAAATTATCTTTTAGAAGTTCTTAGTGTTGGTTTGATATTATCCAATGAAAGTGACAAGATATTTTTAATATCTAGAAGGAGTTAAAGCCTATTAGAATTGGATTGCATACATTCAAGGGTATGAGCTGGTTCCTTCACTGGGTCATGATCCTTGCAAATGCTCCTTTTGCCATCTCATCTAAGGGTCCTAGGACCCCAGGGCTGGGGATGTGGCTCAGTGGTAGATGCTTGCCTAGCATGTGTAGGGCTCTGAGATGCAATCCTAGTCCTGCTAAATAAATGATAAAAAGGATGGTCCCAGAGATTTGTACAGAAGAACAGAGCAGAACGACCAGAGGCCAGCCTTTGGGGTGGACTGGCCCTTCCTGTTAGATGGTCTGGAGATCTGCTGATGGCCATCATCTGCAGGCATTTTGAAATAAAACCAAAAAGAATCCGAGATTTTATTTTTCATTTCAAAACAGCTTAAAGTCCATATCACATCAATATTCTTCCGTCATTATATTCAGATGAAGTTCCTTACAACTGAGACAGCAATGTTGCTACTGGTATCCACAGTTCATCTTACTTTTATAGTAAAGAGCTTCAAGGCCTAGGCTCAACACCCTAACCATGCAACATTCACCAACAGTACTGAATGTGGACTGTGTACTACACTCTACTGTATTTTCTACTGTAACTTCAGACTTGTTGAGGACCCCCCACCTTTAGTAGCAGAACTGACAGTGGGTATAGGGAGGTACAAAAAAACAGGAGGTCATTCCTAAAGTTCCAACTGCTGCTGCCCCCATATCATCATCATTCTTTCTCTTATCTGTAACTTCCAGAAGGTAGGGAGTGCTATTCTTGGCTTTGTTTTAAAATACTTATTGCAGAGCCTGAGCTTGAATTTCTTTTGGTCTTTCTTCTATAGAGAAGTAAGATGAGGAAAGAAGATGTAGAAATAAAAAGGAAAGGAAAACCCCAAGCTTTAGGTGAAAGGAAATGGTTATTTGCACTTAACTCAGTCATTACAAATCAGTTGTGTGCTTGGAGTGGTAGACATGGAGAGGAAGGCACAGGACTCAGCAGACAAGATGTGCAGAGTTAGAAGCAGTAAATGCTGTGTTAAAATTAGGGAAGATGTAGGCAGGGATTAAATAAGAAACTTCATGTAGGAGGTCCATTTGGAACCAGGCCCTGAGATGATTGATGGGGCTGGGGAAGAAGGTATTCCAGAGTGGGAATACAGAACACGTGATGCTTGGATTTGGGGTGGGGTGAGGGGGGATGAAGGGGAAGCAAAGTAAAGTTAGTACTCACACAAGAGTTAGTTTCATAAGAAAGAGAGAGCACACCTGTAATGTCAGTGATTAGGAGACTGAGGCAGGAAGATTACAAGTTCAAGGCCAGTCTGGGCAGATGAGTGAAACCTTTCTCAATTAAGAAAAAAAGGCTGGGGATGTAGCTCAATGGTAGAGCACCCTAATTCAATCCTAACTACTACAAAAAGAGAGCAAGAAATATATGTGCACGTGTGCACTCTGTTACTTCAGTAGAAGGGGAATATGTTCAATTACTTGAGGTCACAAGTAACAAAAGTCCCCCTTATTATAACAATTGGCTTTAGTAAGTGAGAAGGTGCTTCGCTGTAGCATACCACCACAAAAATTTTAATTAAGCAGAACATCTCCATCCTCTGAACTTTCCAATGGAGAGATTTCTCTGTAATTTATATCGTGCCTGAAACAGTTACTGAAAGTCTATAAGTGCAAGTCCTATTCTACCAAAAAAGGATTGAGGCAAGAGGAATTTTATGACCTTACAAAATGAGGAGTCCACAGGTAGGAGATATCAAGGTTGCTTAGTTCTGTGACATATCAAGGCCAGATTCATCTTTCTCTAGTCACAGATTCCCTCAGTCCTCATATTGCCGCCACAGTTTCAGGCAGCAAAAGATGGAAAACATAGCCACCCCTCCCTTATTTGTTTGTTTGCTTCTGGACACCTCTCCATAAGTTCCTTAGCAGCACACTCCCTCTGAATCTCCTAGGCCAGACTTTCATGATATCTTTGTTTCTTAACCAATCACTGGCAAGAAGAATAGAATTAAAAGCACTGGGTTGCTAATGAAGATTCCACTCCTAGAGCTGAGGAAAGTTCCAGGCTTTGGGAAAGCATATGGCCGTCAATGTTAAATAAAATTGGGGTTCTGGAAGAATTGTGTGTGGGCAACTGGCAATATCTGCTGTGGAGATGAGTGAGTGCTTAAACCATTCAGGAAGTCAGGAACAGCTTGTAAGAGGGCTGGGGCTCAAGCCAAGCTCTGAAAGATGCAGAGGAAATTTTTATTCTTTCTCATCCAATTTGTTCCTGAAACCAGGATTTTGTTACCAAAATAGTCCTATTTGATAGCTCTCCATTCAGCTTTACAACAGATATTGCCTACAGCCTGTCAGGGAAGCAAGTGAACAGTAAGTTGGAATCTACACGAATATTTACATCCTGTACGTCACTGTTGCTTAGAATCCAGGGCTGTCACTGCATTTGTTGTCTTTTCTTAATCCTAAAAGTTTCAGAATCTGGACTGTGGGATACAGAAATTACTGATCCTGGGTCATGGGATTACATCACTTGTTTGTCATGTTTAACTAGGTACTTCATGATGCTAAATATTACATGATGGGAGAATAAAGGAAATGCATGTATATTAGTATATAAATGTGTGTGACCACTATCCTTGCCCCAAATTGAGAACATTTAGCATAAGTGGCATACTTTGAGTTGATGGCAACTGTTTTAATGTCTAATGACTCATTTCTTTCTCAGACATGCTTCTCAATTTTCTTTACATACTCTTCTGACATTCAGTGCATGCTGTCTCCTATAGGCCTAAAAGTAAACCTTGAAACCACACCCCCCCCCCAAAAAAAAAATGGTTGGTTTCATAATGACTTGAGAAACCAACACACTTTTTCAAGTATACACCAAAAATAATTTAGCAGTTTTGACATGTGTGAAGCAAGCAGAGCTGTCACCAGGTGGCTAACCATGAAGATATGACTTTCATTCTGTTTTATGGTCATGAGTTTCATTCTGTTTTACTGTCTTGTATCCTATCCTGGTTTTCAGAAACTTCAATATGCGTTGCCCTTTCTAAGGTCAATCTGAAAGACATAAATATGGTTCTGAATGACTCAAGCACAGATATTTTAATCTTCATACTTCATGGGTAGCTTTTTTCTATATATAAGCCATTTTCTCATAAGTGCATTTCATATTTGTATATTTCAGGATTTTAAATGCATTTTTCACACAAAACTTTTTTTTTTCTTTTGCAGTCCTGGGGCTTAAACGCAGGGCCTTTCACATGGTCGGCAAATGCTCTACCACTGAGCTACATTCCCAACCCCCACAAAGATTTTTAATACTCTACTATTAATTCTTCAGAGATCCATTTTGCCATGGGGTATTATGTGGTAGCTTATAATGATATTTAAGATATTTCTTTTCGGGGTCATTCAGGACCAGACTTGCATAATTCCATCAGGGTTGGACAATGATGAATCAGGGAGAAAACTTATTGTACTAGTGCATTGCTGTACTAGATTGTACTTACTCAAATAAAATGAACCCTGGTTACTTCTGAACCAGTCTTTCAACAGGAGACAAGAGTTTTTTCAGAATTTTTCTTTATTGAAAATACTTTAAGAAACAGCAATGAAAGGTTGAGCCCCATGAGTTATTTGGATGGTGCATAGGCGCACACACACTCTCATACATGTGAGTTCATTTTCCCTCTTTTCTGGGTTATAACATAGTAGCAAGATTTGGGATTACTATGCACCCCTCCTCCAAATGTACTATAGGAGTCCTTTAGTTCCTTTGTGAGGAAACCTGCCTAATCCTGAGTAATCCTAGGCCCCAAAGACTTTCCCTCTTTCCTTTTCTGTCCTCTCCTAACTTGCACTCATACCCTACGGTTGTGGACACCCAGTTTTGACAGTTCTCGGTAAAACAACAGCAAAAGGCATACAGAGATGCTCTGCAGTGTGTATGAAGTTTGCCTGACAACTCCCCAACTCTCAAAAAGGAAGGCATAATTTCTTAAAATACAGTTATTTAAAAAAATTAGGGACTAGGGTTGTGGCTCAGTGGTAGAGCACTCGCTTAGCATGTGTGAGGCACTGTGTTCAATCCTCAGCACCACATTAAAAAAAAATGAATAAAATAAAAATATTGTGTCCATCTACAACTAAAAATATTTTTTTAATTAGTTAATAATCTAATTAATTTATATTTGCAGTACTGGGGATTGATCCTAGGGTCTTGCCCATGCTCGGCAAGGGCTCCGCTACTGATCTATACCCCCATTACTTTCTACTTTTAAATTTTGAGACAGGGTCTCACTATGTTGCCCAGACCAGCTTCCAAATTCCAATCCTCCTTCCTCAACCTCCCAGGTAGCTGATATTACAGGAATATGCCACTATGCACAACCGAAATATTTTATTTTTTAATATATGTAGAACACCTTGAGGTTCAAAATTTAAAAGAGATGACAGCTATGTAGTGAAAAGCAAATCTCCCATCTCTGATTCCACATCTCCCACCTGGGAGGGGGGCGCTAACCATTTGTTATGGGTTTTGTTATGATTTAGATATGAGGTGTCTCCCAAAAGCCCATGTGTATGACAATGCAAGAAAGTTCAGAGGTGAAATGATTGACAGCTTTAACCTAATCAGTGCATTAATCTGCTGATAGTGATTAACTGGAGGCAGAATTAGGGTATGGCTGGAGGAGGTGGGTTGCTGGGGATGGGCCTTTGAGGCATATATTTTGTCTCTGATGATCCTAGTTTAGTTTCTCTCTGCTTCCTGATTGTCATGTCCTGAGCTGCTATCCTCCTCCACACCCTTCCACCATGATCTACTTCACGTCTAACCCAGAGCAATGGAATTGGCTATCGTGGACTGAGACCTCTGAAACTGTGAGTACCATATACATTTTTCCTCCTCTAATTGTTCTTGTTGGGTCTTTGGTCATAGCAACAAAAAACCTGACTGAAACAGTTTTCTTTTCTGTGAACTAGATAAACTAAATCATTGATCATGCCATCTTTTGCCTTAAGTTGCTGCATCTTCAGAGCTTTATGTGGAACTTCTAGAAAGGAATGTGGGAGTGAGTATGTTCATTCACTTCCTCAAGTCAGAAAGTGAGACCACATTAGTAAGATCAAGTCCAGGAGGAAGAGGCAGCTTCTTGGAATGTAGGACTCTGGCAACACTTTGACTTTACAGGTACTTTCATGGGCTTTCTTCAGCTGTGTACTAGGTAGATGAATGCTACCACCATGTAGTCTGGTAATTAAAAAAAAAAAATCACAGCTACCATTTAGTGAGTGCTTACTTACCCTGTGCCACATAACACTTTGCATGCTATATGGGGCTTAGCACATTTAACTCTCATAACAACCCCCTGGTGTTGGTGCTGGTGCTTTTATTATTATCTGTGCTTTATAGATAAGGCAGTAGGCTTGGAGAGGGTAAGTAATTTGCCCAATACTGCTGATAGAGAACAGGACCAAGAGCAGAACTTGACTGGTAGCTTCTGTCCTGGTGGCTCTCCCCGAGCCTAGATTCAGATGCAGGCAAATGATGGGAGAGGTACCTGCTGACCATGCCTCAAGGACATGGTGGCTGCTGAGAATGAGTTCTGTGATTTCCAAGTGGTTAGACTTAGAAATGCCAAACCTTTCCTATTCAAATGTACAAAAGCATGTGTCAGTTTCTCTTGGTTTTAAAAAGTCCTGATGCTGATCACACAAAAATGACTTTACAGTTGAAGGACTTGCTGTTGAAATATCAAAGATACTCACTAAAATAAAATCTTAAAACTAAAAGGAGTTGTACAGGTAAAATTTACTCCTTTAATTTTATAAACAAGGAAACCAAATGCATTAGTCAACTTTTCGTTGCTGTGACAAAGTACCAGAGAAAAATAATTTATTAAGAAGAAAAAAAAAAGGAAAGATTTATTTTGGCTTACAGTTTCAGTTCATGACTAGCTGGCTCCAGTTCTTTGCACCTGAAGTGAGGCAGAACATCATGGTGGAAGGGCATGTAGAGGAAAGCTGCTCAGCTTATGACAGCCAGGAAGGAGAGAGAGAGAGAGAGAGAGAGAGGAAGGGATGGGGGGACAAGATATGGTCCTCAACGGCCTGTCTCCAAGGACCCACTCCCTTCAAATCGACCCCACCTCCTGTAGTATCCTCTACCTCCCAAGAGTCTACTTAAATTATTAATCAATCCAATGATGTCTTGGAAAGCTCTCTTGTTCTAATCACCTTTTGGAAGGCTCTACCTTTGAATACTGCTGCATTGGTGATCAAGCTTTGAGCCTTAAGAATAATACAATATTAAAATTTTCAGATTTTAGAGAACCAATCCATGTCAATATTAATTTGCTTAAAAATAAATACACATACTTGCATATATCTCTTGTCAAGAGTTTTACTATCTTTTCCTCACGACAAGCAAATGTTAAAATACATGTGATGCCATGAAGGTTGATGTTTGTAAGCAATATGATTTTTTTCCAGGCATTTATAGGTCTGTATTATTTAAATGGCTTCACTTATTCTCTCATTGCAATGTCTAAATTCATGTAAACCAGGGATTTTGCTGGAGTTGACACCTTGATAGGTATTATACATGGGTATATAACATGCCTGACCCATTAGCCTTCCTAGTTAAGAAACATGGCTAGAAATTAAATGGTGGAATTCTGTTACTTCAGAAATACAAGATGGTGGCAGTTGGGGGAGTAGATGGGGTGTTAGCATAAGAGGGTGCTTAGGAATAGAGAGCCCCCATGCAATGATGGAAAGTTAAGAAAATGGAATTGTTGCAGAGGCTTTGCAGAAAATCTATAAGCATACTTGGACAGCTGGCATAGACTTGTTAACCAAAGCACATTAAGATTCACTGTGTAGTTTTTAGTCTTAAGGGATTTTCACTATAATTAATTACTCGAGTACTATTCCAGAGCAGATAGTATTCAAATAATCACTGTCTCATGGTTTTGACTTTAAAGCAAGCCAAACAGTGGTTGTCTATCTATTATCTGTTGAGATGGGGGTCTCATTATGTTGTCCAGATTGGCCTTGTACCCCTGGGCTCAAGTTATCCTCTAGCCTTAGCTTCCTGAGTAGTGGCACTACAAGGCACACATCCCTGTGTTGAACTGGTTATCTTTTTTGTTTTTGTGATACTGGAAGATTATCTATTTTAAAAAATCCATTCTGGTCCTGGCAGGGTGAACCATGCTGTAGTCCTAGCTTCTTGGGATACTGAGGAAGGAGAATTGAAAGTTGGAGGCCACACCAGCCTAGACAACTTAGCAAGACCCCATCTCAAAAAAAGAAAAAGAAAATTCATTCTAGATAAAAAGAACTACAGAAACAAAACAACCAAAACCAATGGTGCAGGCAGTGTAAGAGGTGCATGAATAATGCCTGCATTTTCTAATCAAGGACTCAAGACTGAGAGCCAGGAGACCTGTCACTTTGGCCAGGTCACGCCACCCTGCTGAACCTGTTTTCTCCACTTTGACCTTGACTTTTGGTAATGCTGTGAAGAAATAGACTGTTCAATTTCAGAAAAGTGTTAATATAAGTAACATTTCATTGATGTTTAATTTTTCTTG